GAAAACTTGTTTAAAACTTTGTTTTATCTTAAAGTTACTTTTAGTTGAGTTTCGATCGGAACCCATGTCTTGGGTGATTTTAGACCTTGAAGAACATGAACTTAGGTAATATTTAAGAGTAACGATGAGTTGGGTTGAGCTGTGTTAGTGCGCTTTAGTTTGAGATTACTTAGTTCCTATTCTTTAGTATTTTTAAATTAATAGTGACGTGTAGTTTTCATACTTGATTCAGGGCACTAGGTGGACTTTTATACTCTATTCGAGGATTATATTATTTCGTTTCCAGGTGAGTAGTTTCATCCTACATATTTTTATAAATGTTCCCCTACCCTGAACTGTTGGAAAATTTAATTGTTGTTTCAGGACTAAACTGTTTTGATATTATATTATCAATGGAATCAAATTATTTCTGAAACATGTGTGAACTTGGAATACTGTAAATTATTTGTTTTGGTCTCATGTTTATAATGGTGAACTACCATGTTTTGCGAAACTGATATGTATTGATTATTGGGACCATCTGTATATTTTAGTCTAGGGAAATTCCACTGTATGTGGTGACTCTAGCCACTAGGAAACAGATCTGAGTTGGGCCGTGATGACTCTAGTTCTCAACAATTGTAAGGAAAAGACCTAGGTCAGGTTAGGTGACCTTCAATCGGATCGTCTTAAAGAAAAGGCCTAGGTTGCCATCCTGAGGATGACTCTTAGTTCGGTATTGGATCCAACGGGACTTATAGCCTTGAAAACTGTGTGGCATGTTACTTGTTATTTCTTGGTTCCCAGAAAATTATTAGTGTTCATGTTGTAATATGTTTTAAGTGGAAAATGTCATTTATCATGTTTTTGAGAGAAATGAGTATTTTAACTATTGAACTGTGGAACCTTCTTTTTGAAACAGATTGTCTTTACCAAATTGTATGTCAATCTAGTTTCTATGATATATATCTTATTTTGGAATTAAACCCTGTTTTCAAAACTGTATTTACTATCCATGTTGCTACTCACTGAGCTATCAGCTGACTTAATTGTTTATCATTTCCAAGTATTAGAAGGACTTAGAGTGGACTCATGGTGTAGCGGGGACTCAATTGCATGGACCTCTAGGACATTCATTTATTTTGTTTTAGATTGTTATGTCAAGTTGTGCATATTTATTTTTATTTATTTTTATTGGGGTTCATTTAGGATTATTTTGTTATATGGGTTGTTTATATCCCATAAGTTTGGATGGTATTGCTTATTGGACTTTTGTTTAGTTGTTCAATTTGATTATAGTTTCATGTTTAGGCTTACGTGTACCTTGGGCTAAGGCCCTGTGGGCCACGGCCGGTCATACCGGGTTTGAGGTGTGACACTTACAACATATAATGCACCACTGAAGATTTAGAAAACGATTAGGTCTCCGTTTCTGCAATGTATCATTTGTCAAAATGCCTCCATGAACCAAGGCCCACATGAACACCTTTACCTTTAGGGGAGTACAAGCCTTCCAAACTTTTTTACAAAAGGGAAACTGAGGAACATGAGGATTATCAATGATATAATCAAAAAAGGATTTACAAGAAAATATCCCAGATGAATAAAGAGCTCAAACCCTTTTGTCCTCCAAAAGAGGAGATAATAAAAATAAAAAAAAATAAAAAAATTGATCAATTCTGGACAATAAAGAAGTCAACTGTAAAGCCTCCCTATCATTAAGATTCCTAGAAAAATCAAAATTCTAGGAAATTGGAGCCAAAAGTGAACAAGCCATGTAAGCAATTGAAAAATTATGAGATCGAGCCACTCTATATAGATGTGGGAAGTCAGTAGCAAAAGAAGATTGACCCATCCAAACATCCTCCCAAAATCACTAGCTCCCCATTGCCCACCCTTACAGAAAGATGACGAGACCAACATGTGAAAATTTGAGAAATTGACTTCCAAGGAGCACGACAGTTACCCCTCAAAACCACCCATTATTTCTTTTTCTTCATATTCGAAGAGAGAACATATGACTTGGAGGCTTTTGAGAAACTTAAATCTTAACAAAATCCTATGCCTATCTAGATCTTTTCTTTTATATGGTGATGAAGGGCATAGAAATAAATAAAAAATAAAAAAAAGAGGGCAGATCTGAAATTTTACATAGCACGTTTAGGGTATCATAAAATGAAGTTTTGGAATAATGTTGAGTCTTTGTTTGCGTTTATTTTAATTTAGTATGTTGTTGGATAGATTTTATATCATCATAGTAAGTTTTAATAGTTGGGGGTAATTTGATAATTTTATTAGAGCAAATTACACATTGTACTGTTGAACTTTCATCTAAATTTCACTTTGGTCTTTGTGTTTCAATTGTAACAATCTTAACCTCGTACTTTTAAGCGAGTTTCAATGTGACCCTTCAATCAACTCCCATTACAAAAATAACGTTATTATGTTGACTGGCCAAGGATAGTTTTGACATTTTAATATTTTAGACCAATGACTTTTAATGTATTTATTTCGTTATTCATGTCAAGGAAGGAGAAGTCTTTGTATATTGCCAGAAAAAGTAAGGAAAAGTAGTGGAAGTCTAGAACCAAAATCCATGTAATAATTCAAAACTATGTTATAGAACTGCTAAGGCTGGCAATGCTTGGGTTATCAATTGATATCAATGTCTCAAAACAGCAAAGATTGGAAGACAAATGTTGTAAATATGAAACATCAAGGAAAATGAATACAAAAATGTTTGCTGCTAAGCTAAGAAGCATGAACACTTCTAAGCAAATGACGTATCTGTGTCATGTCTGTGTCGGACACTGACACTCTTTGGCCACTTCTCCGACACATGTCTGACACTCTTCAAAACGTGTCCCATTTTTAATTGTTTTTAAAGACCCTAGCACTCTTTGAATACTTGGAGGACACACGTATTTATCACTGGAACACACGTGCCTATGGATTAGACACAGGTGAAACTAATTATAAGTTGGAACAAAATAACTTATGATACAATAATAAAACAAAAACCATTTACATTTACAAAAATTATTGTCATATTATATTTTTTACTATTTTTGAATGATATATTCATATATATATAACATATAATAAATATATGAAATTATATATTTTATGCGTATCACACACGTGTCGTGTCTTGTATTTTTTAGAAATTGGCTTGTTGACGTGTCCATGTTGTGTCGCGTGTCCATGTCCATGCTTCTTTACTGCTAAGTAAGGTATCATATCCAAACTAGGAATACAACAGATTTAACATATCAAAAACTTTTTAATATCTTCATCATATTTGTATAAATATTTTTAGAAATCATGATTTCCTACTTTCCTAATATTTCACCTAAATCCAATCTTGGCTTTGCTTGGTCCATGTGTTAGGCAGAGCATACATAGACCTAGGGTTCCGACAAGGGATCCCTCGTCATAAAAAAAGTTACATACTTTTCTCAAGGTCGAAAGACATTTTATTGAGGAATAATGGCACCAAAAAGCATGTATCACAAGAATATATCTTCAACATAGCATCTAAAAGATAATTTGCATATAGTTTCATCCTTTCCTCTATTTTGCAACCAAAGATGTTCATGCGTTGAGTACAACGTTCAACAAGTAGCATATTTTCCCAATCAACTTATATAATATTCTATACAAACATACATGAGAGGAACCTAGCACATTTTAATACCAAGAATTAAAAACAATATGTGAAAAGGAAATCAATCCATATTAATTTAACCGATATTCTGATTTTAAGTTCTTCCTCATTTCTTTTTAGCTGATCTCCTGATCCAACAACCATGTAAAAGGAGTCAACTAATGTGAGATATTGACAATGTCAAGGTACCAAAACCTGAATATGAATAGCCCACTTGACCTTATCTTTATGTGCACACAAAAAGGTCCAAGGCAAACTGGAAGGCATGAGCTCAAAGATGTGAGCATCATTATGAGCATGGGTATACATCTGGGACAAAGCACGCTAGAGGCTAGGGACTATGACGCAATAAAGAAACATGTGATAGATATGATCCTCCATAAAATTAAACATTCAACCCAAAATAGTGCAATTATCAATCGGTTTTATCAGTCTGGGTAGTAGAAAGCAAGAGCCAATGAGCTTCTCTCTTGGCTCCTAAATAGAGTTTAAGGGAATGGCACCAAGTGGCAAAAATTTTCCCATTTAGCACCACACTCATAATGCGATTAACAGGAGTGTCATGAGAAAGAGAAAAATCAGAACTCATGGGAATAGGTTTAGTGGTCTCAGCAGAAGGAGCAGTAAGAGGTGTCTCATCAATTATGGTGATAGGTTTGAAAGACACACAAAGTCACAACAACACAGTCTAAAAAACGAAAGCAAGAGGCCGGAAAAAATTCAATGGCCTATACAATTAAATGCGACCAAATAAAGCCAGTAGCCCACTCCACAAACAGAAAGGGGAAAAAAATGCAACACATTAACTTAGAGCACCCAAATAAGGAAAAGAGTATAACAAACCCTAGGGACAGAATCGAACCGGTCTCATTCACATAAGAGACTGGTCGGTACTCACATAGCCCTCAGCAAGGGTTTCTAGGGACTGCCGAGGGTCAAGGGTTAAGGAAGAGGGGTTGTCGACTGGTGGGTAGCGGCTGGGAAGGAGTTTCAGCTGGTGGGCAGGGGCTGGAAAGGAGTTTTGATTGGCTAGGAGAGGAGGAGAGAGGCTGTCGACTGGTGGATTGTGGCTAGAAAGGGGTTTCGGTGGTGGCTAGTTAAGAGAGAGAGGAAAAAAAGGGTGGTTAAGGTTTTTTTAGACTATGATACCAAGAAGAATAAAAGAATGAATTGGCTTAACCTCAATTGAAGTCAACCCATGAATATATAGATCAATATGTACAATATTAGGAAACTGTACAAGATAGGAAAAAACATAGAAAAGGAAATAAACTCAAGGCCTAAACAATGGCCATAACAAAAAAAAAGAGTCCTATTCTAGAATATTATGTGTACTATATTTCAACAAATGTTCATATGTAGATCATGTCACTAAAAAAATATACGAAAGTGCTACAAACTATAACAATTAAAGTACTACAAGTGGGGTATAATTTAAAGAATCTTGCATTCCTCTTGTTTCGCTGTTATGCTTCCTCGTTGGCAATTGCATCAGGAGAATTGGGATGCACTTGCTCATGTGATTTCTAGACACCATCAGCTCCATCTAATGCAACTAAGCTCTCCATGTAAGTATACACATAAAATGAGTCGCCATAGACTCCAAGATTCTTGATTTGGTGACTTTGTGGATCATATGAAACCAATTTTCCTAGACCTCCACCATCTTCAAATAACACATCGCCATTCTTTCTAAAACCCAGTACCTTCAAAAATATGCGTTGTCCAATGATTGTGTATCATTTAGTCCATGACTCTATGACACCATATTCTTCCATTACCCATATATGGAAATTACACATTAGGTTCGCTGGGACTAAATCAGATTCAAAGTTGATTACAGCAAGTGACTCACCCAATACTGCAACAGCCGCGTTTCTATAAAACCACCCATTAGGTTGATAGTTTGGCAAAGCCATCTCCCTAAACACCTCATTGCCCATATCAAATGCCACAATCAAGATCCCAAAACCACGCTCCTTTGCTGGATCAAATACAACCCAATGAACAGCCCCATTCACAAACACAGACCAGGTATTTATAGAAAGTTCAAAGCGAAAATCAACAACACAAATGGGTCTCCAAGAAAGCGTGCTAAGTGCATAAAGCTCCATCTTACACAGAACACTACCACGAGTCTTTAAGTCATTGAGGTACCCAATTTTCACCACTTTATAGTCATTACTAATGCGGTCGAACCCAAATCCAAAAACAAACTGAAGATCGCTATCGGTTACAGAATACCCAGATTCAGGAAGTGTCAGGAATCTCCTAATTGATGGGTTCCATAGAAAAGCACAATCTGAGCCATGATAATCCGATATACACAACAACCCATTACAAGAACCAACAATTTTGAACGATTTACTAGAGCTGTGAAATGGGTTTTCAAGTTCCACAAACTCATCACAACAAGTTTCGTCATCGCTACATGAAATATGGCGCTCTTGATTCGGAACAAGAAAGGTATACTTGATGATAAGTAGTTGGGTGTTTGATTTAGTTTGATTGAGGTGTGTGGTGGTGAAACTTGGGTTGGTAATTGAGGAGTACCAAGATTTGCAAACTGAACTGCATCGAAGCAGAGACTTCACTGGTAGTCTTGCAAGGATTTCGATCAAGACTTCGCGAGGTACGTAATCTGACATGGTTTGGGTTGCTTCTTCTTTTATTTTTTATTTATTTATTTTTTCCTTGTGATGTTTTGAATTTCTTGGACAGTTGAGAGAAAGATTGAGACTTGAGAGCAGAGAACTAGAAAGGGATGTGAAATTGAAAGGAAAATAAAAGAGAAGAAAAACAAGATGCGTTGACAAAGCTGAGGGTGTGTTTAGTTGTGTTTTAAAATATGTTTCGAATGAAAATTTTTAACAATATGATTGGTTATAAATTTTTTCAAAAAAATTTTAAAATTATTTTTTTTCTTCATTACATAACAATCAATTTTTTTTTTCTTTCTCATTTTCAATCACTTTTTCTCTCATACATATTCATTCAATTATAACAAAATATCAAATTGTCTCAAACTCTAAAATTATTTTCAAAATATACAACTAAACAAACTAAAAAAATTTCTAAACTCCCTTTCTAAATTTTTTTTTGTGAAAATTATCTCAAAATACAAACCAAATATACCCTATATGCTCGGGGAGAGGAGAGAGAGAGAGAAGGGCCTAGTGTGTTTGGAAAGGGACTATCTCAATTGTTTTCTTTTATCTTTTTAAAAGAAGATGCGTAAAAAAAATAAAAATAATGATATAATTAGATTTTTTTTTTGATTATTTTAATTAAAAATTTAATACCTTAAATGGGGCTTAATATTTATCATTTATGAAATAAAATTATTTGATTCAATAGTAGTAACTCTTTTATTCTATTGTATTGTCTTTGAAAAAATAAATTATAAATATATTTTTGGAAATAAATCATCTATCTTTTACAAAAAAAATTACGATTATTAGACCGAATTATTATTATTTTTTTTTTTATGAATGATAGATATTGAAAGCCTTATAAACTAAATGATTTTGATTATCGAAATAAGATCCGTGATGGGCTCTACGGCTCCTCAAATTCTCTCAGGTTAGAATGTGAAATTGAGAAAAGTTCAACCTTTTTAGAATTACAATTGCAATGAAGATAGAAATATTTGAAATTACAAGGAAATTACAATTCATTGTAGGTTTTAGAAATAATTTTAGATTAGTTGGTAAATTTTATGAATATTAATAATTGAAGTTTTAAAATTTTTGATGAATTTATAATTATTTTGTAAAACACCACTGAATTATAGAATTGTTTTAAATTAATTGAAAAATATGAAATCTTCAAAAAAAAATTTAATATTTCGCTCTCTTTTCTTGCTCTCTTTATGCAATTCAAACGGCTAGCCTCAACCCTTCTTGCACTCTATTTTTACCATTGTCAACTCTTCTTTACCTTCTACATCCTTCAACCATCCTTACATCCTTCAACCATCCTTACCCTACCACAAATCTCAACCCTTCTCAACCGTATGCATTCTTCAACCATCTCTACCCCATTACAAGTCTCAACCACTTCTTACCTTTACATCACTATTAATAGCATTTTCCACGACCAAACCTTTGTTATCATCTTCCTTTCCAACCCCCCCTTCCCCAATCAGCCACCATCGTGACATCCAGGCTTCCATTATCTTAATTCTTCTCAAATTTGGATTATATCTCAAAAAACGAAAATAGAGAGACCTGGTTGTTGGGTCTCATGAGAGAGAAACATAGGTAGCATTTGGTAGAATTTTCTAAATATGATTTGAGAATAAAGTTTGAAATTATAATTTGAGTGCAGAAAATTTGTTTAGTGAATGAGTTTTGAAAAGAGTTTTGAATTGATTAGGAAATTTTTGATATGACATATGATATCTAATACAAAAACTTACAACTCATAACCAAACACACAACTCAAAAATCTATTAAAAACTCATAAAAAAATTTAAAAAATTCCAAAAATATTGTTTTATTAAAAGGAAAATGTTTGACGGCCACAATTTTTGTGGCTCAAATGGCTCAAAATTGCCAAAACGACGTCGTTTTAACAATTTTGAGCCATTTGAGCCACAAAAATTGTGGCCCTCAATCATTGCTGTTATTAAAAATATAAAAATAAATAAATAAACAAGTGCCAATTGCAACAAAAAAAAAAATCGCAGTGTTCAAGTCAACTGGCCGGACGTCCGGGGAGACAACCGGTAAGCCAAATTTCAAAATTTAAAAGCCCATCTGAAACGAGTTTTCAAAATGAGGGGTGGAATTAATTTTTCAAAACTCAAACCAAACATCATACTAAAATGCAGGGGTAGAACTATGATTCCAAAATCCTTCCAAACACAGCCATAGTTGTTAGTTGTTTACGACGGTCGTGGTAATGATTGGACATTGCAATCGAGACACAATGGTGACTGGGTGTTGTAAGAATGTATTGTGGTGAAATAAGGAAAAGGGCTAGGAATTGTAAAACTCAGTTAAACTAATTTGTATAGATCATTTAGTAATATCAAGGAATTAGTTATGAGATGGCTTTATAATTTCTATAACTTAGATGAATAATTTGGTAATTTTGAAAAACTAGGTTAACAAGCCAACATTTTAGCTTTAAGTTTTGGGGCAAACAGAGGTCTCGGGATTGGTTGCGGAGGGTTTTTGGAGGCTGCCGCTCACTAGTTTGAAAAAGAAAAAGAAACAAAAAAAAAACAAACAAACAAACAAAACAAAACAAAAAAACAAACAAACAAAAACAAAACAAAAAGAAGAGGGAGGATTCATAGAGTGGTGGTGTTGCTCTATTTATCTCTTAATGGTAAGATTTATTTTATTATACTTCTATTTATGAATTTAGTTTCAATATATCAATAGATGGTTTATATAGGCATATATAATTAAATTAATATATTTGTATGGGGAGCAAATATTATTCGCTTCCGTACTCCTTACATCCAAGCTGCACGTTACTTCGAACGGTGTCGTAGAACCTGAAAACACAGTGACAGTGAGCTACCCGGCAGGTGTGTTGTCGAAAAATCCGTCTGACGATCAAGTTATCACCTCTGGAGAGAAGAAGACAATAGATAGAATAGCTTTGTGTAAGAAAAATTGCAAACCTCTTGTATGGAGGAGTTGCAGGGTTTATATAATTTGTGAGCACACTACCTTACTTGTCCTCTCCTGGACACGCGGATGTACTATCCTTTCCTCGCCTTACACATGTGTGTGCGACAATACTACCAAACAATATCGACAAAACAGCCAAACAGTATTGACGCGTACAAATAGGGGTTCCCTTCTTAGCACTTCAATTAGGCCACATGACAATTCTCGCTGAGCTATCCATAACACGGTGCGTGGCTGTCCACCCTCCAAGAGTAGCTACTACCAACTGACCTAGTTCTGAAATATCCAACTGGTCACCTTTAGCTCAGCCGAGCTAGCTGAACTCGTCCAATATAGCGATCCTGGGTTTTACCCCTTTATGTACAGTGTTCCGGACTTAGGTTCCATAGTATTGGTTATGGTTATATCTTGTTGTCATCCTTTAATTCCTTATTTTTGAGTTATAGGATGTGTTGGGTAGGTTTGTTACAGGTTGGGTGTGATTGGGAGCAAATGGTTGCTGCCCAGAATTTTGGTCCTTCGCTCGAGCGAGACTTTTGTCACTCGAGCAAGCTCTTTGTTTCAGATCCTTCGCTCGACCCAGGGTTCCTTCGCTCGAACGAGAGTTGAGTTTTGTATCTGGTGGCTCGAGCGAGAAGTCCTTCGCTCGAGCTTGCGTCTGCGTCTAGTTCTGGACCTGAAGGTTGCAATTCTTCGCTCGAGCGAGCTTTTCTTCGCTCGAGCGAGCGAGGTGTATGTTTTGGGTTTCTTCGCTCGAGCGAGCATTCTGTCGCTCGAGCGTGCTTCTAGGTTGCAGACCTGAAGCTTCGCATTGTTGGCTCGAGCGAGGCTTTCTACGCTCGAGCGAGAGTTCTTTGTGTCTAGTCGCTCGAGCGACCAATCCTTCACTCGAGCGAGCCTGTGTTATATCAGTAGACAGCAGCAGCTAAACACTTCACTTTTTCATCTCTTTTGATTTCAAAACCCTAGATTCGAGTTCTCTCTCTCTCTACATACCTTCTCTCTAGGGTTTCATCTACTTTTAGTGGGTTTCTACCCTAGTCCTTTGTAAGAAAGGTAGAGGGTTGTTTGGGCTACGCTTTAATCTGAGAGTTTGTGGATTTAGAGCACTTTGGATTTTGATCATCATCTCCATTTGAGCTCTTCATTCCAAGGTAGGGATACCCTACTCCATCTTATGAGTTTTGTCTTTAATTTTGGTCATTTTGAATAGTTGGTGATGTTGGGTAATATTGAGAAAGTTAGGGTTTGTTATGTAATTTATGAAAGAGGGGTTTTCAAATATTAAAACCTATGTGTATGTGAGTTGTTGAAAAATGGAATTATTGTTGTTAAATTGATGAAATTGAGACTTAGGGTTGATATTTGAAAAAGGGGAAAAAATGCCCTAATTATGTTTGAATAATTAATTTGGGGAAACATGAAGTTGAGTTGAAAATCATGAAATTGGGGAATTATGAGATTGAATGGTGTTGTTGGATTGATTAATCACTCACCTATGATAATGTTTATAATTTATCTGTTTGATGAATTTATTATCTGTTTAGAAATAACTGCTTTGGGCTATCGACGGAAGATAGTCTTGATTGTTGTAGACACTGTATGTTGATTAGGGAAAACTGAAACTAATCAAATGGTTAAGTAATTGAATATGATGGTTGATTAACACATTGAATATGTGCCTGGATTGATCATTGTATATGATAGACTGTTTAAATACATTGCATATGTATCTTGTTTGGGAGGAGATGAAGATAGGGGATGGACTCTCAAACCTATTTGGGAGGAGATAGGGGATGGACTCCATTAATACAGCAAATATGTGTATTAAATTGAAGTATTGATATAGCAAATCTGTGTATCATTTGTGAAGTATGGAAGTGTTTTAATATGATAATGATGCATCAAATATGTGTATCTATTGTGGAATATGGAAGTGTTGGTATATGAGTTATGGTCTCATTGAAATGTTTGGCCAGGTTCTGAGCCATATTATGAAATGATTTGTTAAGTAAAGGAAAAGTGGATTGTAACATGGACATAATTGTCATGGGACTGTTCTG